CTTAAATCTCATAACATTATACATTTATATATATTTATTATTTTGACCCTTCAGCCATGCCTGGCTAACAATACAGAAGTTACAATGATGCAACTCACGTGCACTTGTTACCTAACATAAAACTGACCTTTGGTCTGTGCAAAGTAACTTGTCTTGGCTGTGTTTTAGTAGACTAATATTTTGTAAAATAATTATATTTCAATTATTATACATTATATATGTATATAGATTATTGCTATTTTGAAAAAAGCTCTTAAACTTATTTTTCTTTAAACACAGAACAGTAACTAAAGAATTAAATAAATAACAGAGCAACAAGGCACACGTGAAGAGATAACAAACTTGACTCCTGCTCAGAGAACAGGATGTCTAATGTATTGGATTATATATCTTACAGTGTTTACTAGGAAAATTCACCAGAGTAATAACACTGCACTTAGAATCAGTGAAAATGTTTATGCAAACAACATGATGTGGAATTTATCGGCTTATGTATGTTTGCTACAGTGTTTATAACAATATTTCTTCAGAGTAATAAAACCACACTTTGAATCTGTAAAAACGTTTATTATACAGTTCAGTGCCAGTACAATAAACACCATAATTTTTTGAATATTGGTAATCCTTATGGGATGTTATGAATTTAGTGGTATACTGTATAGGTGTTCAAAGATTATATTTGTGCACACGGTCGTGAAATCCTACTTCTCTTTTAGCAAACTTATTCCCCAGCCAATAAACACAAGCATTCAAATTCAATCAAGCACTTTGACTTCACTCAAAGTATTTGGAAGGTGTAGATGTGTTGAAGGAGACAGTGAATACATTCAGCTAAAACTCATTCCTTGCTACTGACTTTTACTTAGAAGTAATTATTTATAATACATGTGAAATTCTGTTCAATAGCTGTAGTATATAGCTGTTAACCAAAATCCTGTGTAGCTGTTTCTGTATTTCAGCATAGGCACTGCTTCTGAAATCTATGATACACATCACATAATATATTACATGTACATGTAAAGAACTAATACACCTAATGGAATACACATAATAATGTTACACAACAAAGAATACATGACACACAATATGTGACATATGTAATGATACACAATAAAGAATATACGTAATATTTTTTTCTTCTAAAAATGGAAAATAAAATATAACTTCAAGAAAAAATCAAGGCAATATAGGAAAACATAAGTTCTCAATGAGGAAGAAATACAGTTTCTCCTCAATCTATCTTTCTCATCAGATGAATCAGCAGATGAGAAAGCTGATGCTTCTGTTGCAATGCCTCTGACAGAATCAGTATACAGAACAGGATAGCCTCAAGTAAAACCAGCTCTTTGTGAATCTGTCTTATGGGAGATCAAGAAGCAGCTGGAAGATCCTCACCAGATGAACATACACCTGAACTATCCAGGCCAGGTACGTTTACACAAGCTTCACCATCACAGAAAAGAGTCAGTGATAGGAAGAATAGTAGTATACAATATACACTAGGGCTGCCCCTTTCCAACAGGAGAAGCCTTTCACCAGCAATGACACCAGGACCTGGGTGCAGAACACCAAGGATGAGGAGGTCAACATACCTCTATTCAAAAGAGGTGAACCTGTGTCCAGACAGGTCACCTTTTACAATAAAATTATTGACTTTTCAACTTTTATTTACATTAGAAACTTTAAACACAATTGTGAATAAAACAAATCAATATGCAAATGAAAGACAAGCCCAGCAAGTAGGTGGACCACAAAAAGAGAGAGAGAGTAAAATGGACTGTCATTACACTTGAAGAAATTTTGGAATATGTAGGTTTAACTATAGCTATGGGACTAAAGCCTTATCTTTCTCTTTCTGACTACTGATCTACCTATCTTCCTTTCCATAATCCTTGGTTTACTAACATCTTCTCTACGGACAGGTCTTTAGCTATCCACACTTACTTACATTTCAATAACAATACTAATGTTCTTCCTAGAAATGATCCTAACTATTAAAAACTTTAAAGATTAGACCTATCATAAACCACCTACTAAACTCTTTTGTTTCCAACTACTTTCTTAACAGAGAACTAACTGTAGATGAACAGATGTCAGATACAAAATGTAGAATTGGTTACCTCCAATATCTACCAAAGAAACCTGTCAAGTGGAGTATCAAGTTGTGGGTCCTGGCAGAAGCTGTGTGTATACTGTCTGAAGTTTAAATTCTACACAGGCAAGGAAAGACAAATGCCATATTGAGGTTTAGAAGACAGTGTTGTGATGGAACTGATGGACAAGCATAAAAGACTAGGACACTGGGTTTTCATGGACAACTTTTACACTTTCCCTCATTTATTTGACAAACTACTATGCTAGTGGGACATGCAAGAAAGACAAGACTGTATTTCACACAACAATTGGTTTCTACAAACCTAAAGGGAGGGGGAAGCAGAATTTTTTAAATGTGGAACTCTTAACAACTGTGAAGTGGACTGACAAACAAGACATTCTCTCACTTTCAACTTTACACTAGTACTATGACAACTGTGACAAGAAGAGGGAGGGATGCTGAGATTACAAAACCTCAGTTTATTATGGACAGCATGTTTAAGGGAAGGGTGGACCTGAATGACCAACACTTAAGTTACTATTCCACTGGACAAAGGACAAAAAAATGGTATAAGAAACTGTTTTTTCAACTTTCGAACTTGACAGTTGTAAATGCTTACATTTTGTACAACAGATCAATCAGCCAGCATTATCCCAGAAAGTCTTCAGAATGGACCTGGTCACAGCTCTTATTAAGCCTCTACTTCAAAGCAGACCAGTTCCTTCTGGTATACCACTTTCCAGAACTATGAAGGACTCATCACACCCGAGACTCACTCTTGGCAGGCATTTCCCAGCAACTGTCGATAGAAGTCACAGGAAGAGATGTGGACTGTACCTCCCAGAAAATAAAGTAACAACACAATGTAAACTGCATGATGAATTTGTTTGTATGAAACATCTTGAAGAGTATCACACTAGTGTTACTCTTCAAAGAAATTAATTTTGCCCTCTTCCTTTGTTTACAAAAATTTTTTTCTCTCTAAAGGTTTTAATGTTTGTATCTGAATGAACTTTTTACATTAAATTTTGACTGAGATCATTTTTGTAAAGTCTCTTTTGTTATTCATACAGTAGCGATGCTACCTTTCACATGTCAAAATCAGTTTACAATGTATAAAATGTTTGTAGTAAAATACCTATGTAAACTTGCATTCATTGATACAGTTATTCCTATGCACAACATTAGGTATGTTTTTTTTTAATTCTTCCTATTCTTGATCCTTTCATTCTGATTGTTCTTTTTTTTTATCATGTGTCCATATTTGCATACATTTTGTTATGTTAGAACATGTATAACTTGATACTGTTTCATGCAGTTTGTATGTGCATTCTTCATTTTAGAGATGCATACCATTTGTGCATAGCTTTATTCTGCAAACATTTGTAAAGTATTTCATCTTTCTAAAACGGTATGAATAAACCTTTTGAAGTTGTCAAGCTTCTACTGTTGCATAATTTGCTTTTATTTACCTCAATTAAGACCATCAGAAGAATAATACAAGTTCAGTATGCATAACTATATAGGCCTACGAAGTACAAATCTCTAACTATAATACCAGTATTAGGGAAATTATACACATACATACATACAGTTATTATTTATTCACGAATGCTTTTTCTGAAAATGTAGATGAATAAATGAAAGATACTTCAACAACAACAAAGACTGAGTAGTTACGGTGGTTACAAGATTTTGTGCTCGAGTGTTTCACATGCTAAGCCTTGTTTATTCTTCCAAGTAGAGGGTGAATGTTTTTTATATGTTTCAATTATACATATTAGAAAATAAAACAGTTAATATACTAGAGCACAGAAAATTCCTTTTATTTATTTGGGCTTCTAAACAAGCTCTATACAAGTTTTAAAAAATCCCATTTCTCGTCATAGCAACTTGTTCATCACACTTCAACAATTTCTTCAAAATTATTATTTTCTCCTTCAAGCTATTTACAAATGGCTATAAGATTTACATACACAAGTAACTATTCTTTATATTGGTTATAAACTCTTGGTCAAAGTAGGTGGAACTAGACAAGAGGTTTTGAAAAAATGGAGTAGTAGGAGGAGCCAAACTACTAGATTGGCTAAATATATTGATATCCCAGCAAATCAGAGGTAAGAGATTCATGTTTTCATTATAACTTGTCAACATCTCCAATTTGAGTTTCTAATTCATTAACAACTGAACATGTGTGGTAAGCATAATAAGTTACAAGCAGAGCAATAACATAATAGGAAGAGCTATGTGCCACACAAAGATTAATATTTAGCATTTTTTCTTTATATTTCCTTTCAAATTAAGAACTTAAATCATATATATTAAAATTTGAATTATAAACTACATTTTAGTGTCAATTCCATTGACATAAGTAATAGTTTTAATAAAACTTTGAAAAATAACTCTAAAATGTCTGGACGTGCGCTCTTTGACCTGCCCACAGCAAAAGGGTTAATTGCACCAGTACACAATGCTTATTCCTACTTACAGCATATTTTTACCACAACCATAAGCATTACTTTCCCGTAGAAAAGGACATGAATCTGATTCCAGGTTCTTTCCAAACAAGTATAAGTCTGTTACCTAGCTGCGAGACAAAAACAAACGAATATTGCCTCACATGTTATCACTACTGCAGGTTAAGTTGTTTTGTGCTTTGCTACAAGCAAAATACAACTCATTGATGTCTGGCAATTGAATCCTGAAAAACTTTTTTTACTATCAGATAAACAGAGTATAAATTGTATGGTTACAACATTTCACCAGATTAACTTGGTATCATCAGGTACATTAACTACAATTAGTGAACTTGAACTCTAGAAGACAAAAAACTAACAGCCAGTTACGTTGGTATTTGACTGGTTGAACTTAACAATAGTTACCTGGTTATTCTCAGATGAGAATAATGATCTAATAAATAACCTAATAAACAAAATAAAAAAACGCCCAGAAAAATATATATAACAAATTATATCCTGTGAAATAGAAAGAAAAAGTGTTTTAAGTGATACCCAATATCTAAAATACTAACTAGGTCAGGAATACGTGCACTTGTATATTTGACTGGCAGCACAAGTCCATACTTTGCAGATGTGCTTGAACTCAATTAAAAGTCAACATCATTTGAAAATGACAGTAGATTTAAGATTGTTAATATTCTTATATTTGTAAAGAAAATTTACTAGACAATTTCAAATATTTTACACAGTAGCATACACGTACAATTCATAATTCTAATATTTAAGGTTTACTTCCTTTAGATTATAAAGTCTAAGTGTTATAATGTTATAATAATCTTAAAAATAAAAAAAATTATACAAATGCTCAACAATTAGAAGTTTAAATAAAGATTAGAAAAAACTATGCCAAAATACTTATTAATTTTAGAATCAAACTATTTAATTCATGAGGCTTTTTTTATTCTAGGGAAAAACCTTCACATTATAAAGTTTGTACAAATGCTTGAATATATGTTCATAATTATGGGAAGGGGTTTTGTACTTAATGCCAGGTTAACGTGGTGAAACGTTGTAACCATACAAATTTAACATTCTATTTATTCAATAATAAACAAGTTTTCAGTTAAACTGACAGAATACTTCCCTTAATTATTAATTTCCCTTGTGAATTCCATCTCAAATCACCTGTATGTTGAGATGATATTGAGTTGGAGTTGTGAATAAATGTGCTTCAGTCTCTAAGCAAATGCAGTAAGGCAGAATTCAGTGTTTGCTCACATCTAACTTGTCCAGATGTTCAAATAGCCATACCAATGGCATGGAAGTGGTCCCCCATTCTGCTAACACTTGGAACCAACTTGGAGACTTATATTAGTTTGGCTTCTGATCAGTACTTCTGGATAAACCTAGAACAGTGTATTTCATTTGGTCAATTGTTTTGAGATAAATTAATTAGCTAAAACATGTCTATGGTGCAATGGAACGAGAACACATGAAATTATGAGACCTCTGTATTAAAACGAAAGAAGACTCGTAATGGATTGATAAAATGGTTCTCCTTTATTTTATACCAATGTCTGCATTCAACAGGTCAGACCTTGTAAAAAAAATTATATGTAATGTACTCTGTTAACAAATATCTATAAGAACAATTAAGAATTAAAACTGAAAGTTAATCTGCAAACAGGCAAACTCACCATTTGATAAGAAACATAAGCTCTCCACTTGAATCAGTAGCACCAATGATCCGGTCAGGCTCTAAGCCTCTGTCAAACCCTTTAGGTTTACTATCATCCTATGAAAAATGAAAAAAACTATAATGCATAAAACAAATACAAGTTAGTACAAGTACACAATTTCAGACAACACTTCAGATTTTTTCAAAAGAAAATACAGTTTTTATACACAAATGAACATCGTAGTAAGTGCTGTAATAAAATTATTCAGACAATTGAATAACCAGTGTTGAAAATAAATATTAAAAACTACCTTGCTAATAAGAATCATGTTCTTCTGTAAACTTATGACACTTTGAACAAACTGAATTTAATAACCTAGTGTAGGTAAGAAGTTTCATGAACATGAATTACACTGCTTGTTCTGGAGTGGGAGGTTCATGAATAAGTCAGGCAAGATATTTTCCAAGCAATGAAAACAGTTCAGAGCTAAAAAAACTGCGCAACAAGATTTAATACTATTTTGCATTTCTTCCATGCTAGTATACTTTTTAGCATGCTAAGAATTTAATACATAACATCTTTTCCATTGTATGATGTTCTACCTCATGAAACCAGTCAAACTATCCTCAATAGCCAATTCTTTATTCTTTACAAAATAGTTAAAAGAGGTACTCTCACACTGTACTAGCCCTCACCAATAATATCGCCAAGTTATGTTTGTCAAGCAAAAAAAAACATGGCTAGATAGTTACTCGGGCATGATTAGAGCCTAGAATTTGGGTTTTCAGAGTTGCTGAACCTGAATCTAGCACTAAATTTTGTGTTCCTGCCCCATTCTACATCAGGAAGGCACCATGTTTAAAATTGTGCACATACTCCCACTCACAAGCTAGCAGGACCAAAGGTGGCACACATATGCTCAAGCTCAACATGTGAATGCCCAAAGTGGATTTGTTTTTGGTATGGACCATCCTTTGGTAGCTATAGTAGTAACTGAGGATAATGGAGGAGCTTGATTGGAACACTGGGGTCTTTGTGAATCATTTGGGGGTGGGGGGGGCGGTTTTAGACTCGTTGCAAGCGATGTTGGTATTTTATTGTCCACTTATTCTACTAAAGAAACAGTAGATTTATTACAAACAACCTCTACTCTTAGTAAA